CAAGGTATTATGAAATTATGTGGAAAACTCGTGCAAGTGAAAAGCGTGCCCAACTTTTTTTTGAAATAAGGTGACCACTGTCATTTTAGTGCCACCCTGAGGGTGGCAAAACTTCCAGTTTACGAAGTTTCTTGTAGTTTTTGCATAAATAATTATACATTATGTTTACCGTTCATCAAATTTGGTTTTTCATACTCCTATTTTCTTTGCTAGAAATACGAAATAACAGCGAGTCTCGGCTCCTCAGGAGGAGAACCCAATCATGCTCTTGAGCAGTTCGCGCGCTTGGGGCCATAATGAAATTCGAAAATAGCAAAGACGATCTATCGAAATTCATTTGACAACTTTGTGCCGCAAAGCACATCTGTATTTGAATGGATTGGCAATATTCATACTGGACATCCACGGGCAGCCGTGATAATTGACAAAGCACGACGCACACCTGCTTGTGCTGCATCCGCACATCCCCTTTCGCTTCCCTAATTTTACTCAAATCTCTCGCCATTCCACGGTGAGTTCCACTCTAAGGTGTGAATAGATGCCTATTGTTAGGATTAAAATCATTTGTCGAATGAAAAGATATCCGAGAAGAATTTTTTGAAAAACATTTTTGATTTGAGTTTGCAAGCAAAACCCAAAAAAGTTCATTAACAAAAGTCAGATCTTGAACTTAAAAGATCTTGCGGACTTCCGAGGTTAGACATATGCTGTCATATTAAATATTCATATGTAGAGTTGCTGTATTTTTTCCACGGTCGTAAGTCGAGAAAATGAAAAATTGGCATGCCATAGCAAATGCAATGGTCAGCTACTTTTACAGAATTAATCTATATCATAAACATTCATATGTGCAGTTGCTGTAATCCCTGATTAGACATCGAAAAATTGAAAATTTTTATGCTTCATGTGCAGTTGCTGTAACCCCTGATTAAACATCGAGAATTTGAAAGTATTATGCTTCCGTCAAACTATTGCTGGAGCGTTTCTGCGCAAGCAAATCCCTTCTACTTGGCCTGAAAGATACAACGGTAGATTTTCACAAACGTTATTTTTCTAGAAAAATCGAATTTAGCTTTTTTTCTTGTCCTTCAAAATAAATTTGATGTTTTCGAGAACTTACATTTGTAGAATGCTGAAAATCTACAGTTGTACTTTTTCAAGCTTTTCAAGTAGTAATCTGCTTACGCGGAAACAGCCTGGTATCATTTTGATGGGAGCACAAGAATTTTCAATATTTCCATGTAGTCGTCGCATAATAAGCAAGTAATAGGTAGATAACGGTAAAGGTAGATAACCCCAAATAACACCCAATCCCCACTTCTACCAAACGGACAAACCGCAGTTTGAGTAGTACATATACGGTCATAAGCTCGATTGTGACCAGTCACCATTTTAGATAAGCGAGAGAAATGTCGACAACGCTTACAACGCCGTGCAAACCTGCCTGATGTACGCCTCGCCGCATCGTATTTCCGTCTAGAAAAGTCTTAAGAGTTTCTTACTTGCACATGCACATACTTTCTATAACTTGAATTGCCTGTGAGTCTGCTGGTTTTTCCCAAGCTAGAAATAAAGAAAAAAAGATGATTCCCCTGTTTTTGTCAAAGCTAAGCTGGACTGGTTTACATGTATGAAGAAAGGAAGGAACTAAAATCATGGATTTCTGGACTTTCGCGGCGATATGGAGAAATATCAAATTTAGTGCAAAAATTCCCAAACAAGGTTTATTGGACACTTCTGGCCTCTTTTGTTTGTAGTTGCTTAGGCTTGGAAATTTTGAAAAATTTACAGAAATTAGGTTGTTCCATAACTCTTTTCATATCTAAATTTTCACCTTCATAAGTCAGTTTCTTTTGTATTTCTAACAGGCCGCCGGATACCATTTTTAAGATCAAGACACTCTACAAGACAGCTTTTAAAAATTTGCACCAGGCTTGATGCGCATTGAGTTACAAACTAAGAAATCCGAATTTCCGAGAAAACGAATATAATCGTATGTC